GCTTTCGGTCAGCCAGTCCTTGGTTGGTGATCTGCAGTTTGGTGTCAGTTCAGATTAAAGCCTGATTCACTGCAGATAGCTCCTTCTCAAGTTAGGTTTTCCTCTCCACTAGTTGAGTTCGAAAATGAAAGACAGAGGAATGTTGTTCCTTTAGCCCTGAGACTTCAGCATGTACTGTGGAAACAAAGCTCTAATCTCTCACTAGTTGCTCCTCTGCAGCCTTGGCAGCATGACAAATGTTGATGTAGAAATCAATAGTAGCTGCAGCCTGTGATAGATGACTTGAGACACTCATTGCAGACTGTTCAGCAATGTTACAGCATTGAAGGAACCCATTCCTGATGATAGGCCTTTGTAGAGCCTCGAAGGGGATCCTTGAAAAGGAAGTCAACAGTTGCAAGCATGTGTCCAAATCTACTGAAGGTGCAAAAGGCTTGTTGCTACTCTTGAAGATTTCCAGTAGGGAGTCAGCCAAGGCTAATGGCTCAGTTTCAGCAGTAGAGGTGGGAGAGGTAGAAGGTATGTCAAAGAGACTAGCTAGTCTTCCTTCAAAAATGTCTACCTCATCCCTTGACATGAAGGGCATAGAGAGTGTTGTGGTGGAAGACGCAAGGGGCTGCATAGGGATGGGAGAAACGGATGGAGCATCTTTGGCAGCCTCTATGGTCTTGGCCACCAGCAAATCAAGAGAAGAGGGGCTGGAAGTAGGCATTGGTGATGAACTATGAATTGAAGGGCTACCAGTGTCCTCTGTGGAAGAATCAACTGCCACTGGGAATGGGGCAGCAGTTGGAATTTCTGTCGAGGACGGAGCAAGGCTCGAAGGGAAAGTAGTCTGAGGTAGGTCATGAGCCAAGAAACGGAGGTATGGCTCTAATCCAAGAAAGAGAGAGGCAGGAATACTGGGACTTAAAGAAGGTACGCCAAATATAGGCTTTGGAAATGGTAGTACGATTCGAACAACCCTGACACTCTGCATTTGATCAACCTCAACGGAAATTGAGGAAGGCCTCATTGGAAAAGCGAGTGCAGTAGTTGTCGCTGCAAAAGGAAGAAATGCAGAATAATGTTAAACTTCAATACCACAAGCTGACAAAGTAAAAAATAGCAGAGGTATGAGAAAAATTACTTGTTCCAGAGGCGCTAGTACTGATGGGAGAACTGCGGAGAGAATAATGTCCAGAAGTCTGCTGCCTTCTTACCAT